TAACTCTAATCCAATCTTTACTTAGGATTAACCTTCTTAGTATTCTTATTCATATTCATATTTCTTACAGCTTATAGCTTATATATATTATATCATATTCAACTTACTCTTTTTTATCACGTCCTAGCATCGGTCCCAGAATCCGCTCTCCCCTTCTCTCGTTTCTGCGTAACGACCTTTAAAGCTTTACTTTCCACTTCACGACTCTTTATCCATCCTTCAAGAATCTTCCCCACTTCCTTAAACCGCACAGGTTTCGTCATGAAAACATCTACGCCGGCTTCGAACGCCATTTCTTGGTCTTTCTTAGAGCTGAAACCAGTTAGCGCAATGATAAGCGCCGGTTTATTAAGCTGCAGTTTTGGGGGTGTGAGCGCGAGGTGCAGATCGATGGAGGGGAAGGTGGATGGCGTTGTAGAGGTGGATAAGGGTTGGACGTGGAATGGGAAGGAGGATTCGGGTGGTGATAGCCATGGGGAGTGGGTTCGTTGTTGGTGTTCGTAGGCAATACGACGTTCGGCTTCGATGCTGCGGATTAGACGTGTTGAATCGAAACCCGACATTACGGGCATTGAAACATCTAACATGGACGTGTTAACTTCCGAGGGAGCATACGCCGTGTACTTTAGCACGTACCCATAAATATTACACCAAACCCCTCTGGTCGATCTCTGAAAGCTTGCATGGCTATCAAACCGTTCGTGGCCTTTTCCACTTTCCACTTATTTTTCGTCATGTATGTTTCCAGGAGCATCATGTTAATAGGATTGTCCTGTACCGCACTGTAAGCAAATCGCATTTACTAGGAATTATTCGCTGGACTAACCTCAACCAATAAAAAAACGTGGGCAGAATCAGTGTTGTCAGGGGCAGGCAAAATAGGCCCTGAATTGAGATAACCTTCAAACTGACTTGTGCCAATGTCTGGCGTAGAAGAGTTAAGGGAGGGATCTAATGCACCGTCGGTGGGTGTAGCAGTGCGAGAAGAACTTTCTTTCTCCAGGCCGATCTTTTTTGCCTCAGGCGCTTTTTTCCAGGTTTTCGGTTCTCTCTTAAGGTTTTTTGCGCTGTGGTCTATTGTTGGTGCCCTATTTAGAGTTGTTGTTGGCGAGAACCCGATCGAGGACTGCAAATTCCCAATCAGCATTAAACTCTTATTAGTATTCACAGTCATCCTGGCAGGTTCTGCTTCGTCCGAGGCGGTTATCTTGTCACTTGACGTTGTCTGACTTACCCGTTTCTGATGACTTAAATTCATGGCATCCTCTGCGTCAAAGCAATTTAAGAGCGCTTTGGCGAGGCGATGAGGGCCACAAGGTTTGCCGATAACCTCAATAACCTGCGAAGTATCTAGACTAGACGTGTGAATGTCTCTTCTAGCACTGTTGCTGCACAGAATGAGCAACGCTTGGCATTTAAGCTCTGTGGGTGAAGAATGGACCAAGGCAGATTCGTCACAAATGAGAATGTCGACAGCGGCATCATCGGATGCAATCTCGAGCTGAAACCAATCTGTGATATAGTTCTCAATGGATGCTTTTAGTCCAGAGAGTGAAGCGATTTGAAGGTTAGAGCTCCCAGGAATGACTTCGAATCCACGGATTGTTATCGTGCGACCACGACCCCGCCGGCGTACGGCGGTAATGGGCTCGTCAATCCCTTCAAGGCTACCTGGGCTTAGATCCCCAGTTTCTGCTGTTGTTTTACCTGGACTAGCGGGGCAGTTTTCTAATGGCAGGCTGAGTGTGATTTCTGTGCCTCGGCCTAGCTCGCTGCGAACATCAATGTTGCCACCAGCCAAGTCGACAATTTCCTTTACGATACTCAAGCCTAGCCCTGTACCGGGTGCAGTTACATCCTCCTTGAGACCCAATTAGCATCGAAGTAGAGACCTATAACGCATAGGTTGGAAGAGAGCCCAAACCTGTGAGAAAGGCATGAACAGTTTCGTCTTCATAAAGTCACTTGACATTCCCTGACCAGAATCAGTTACGGTCAAGGTCACCAGAGTCCTTTCCGGTAAGTTGGCCTCCTTTCCATCTTCTATGGACGGTATACTCTGCGCTTCAAGCTTCACTCGGATATACCCTGAGCGAGTATATTTCAAGGCATTGCCAAAGATATTCATAGTCAAGCGTCGCCATGTCCCGGGGACGGTGGGGAATTTCCACCGGTCCCTGAATCCCATATCAATAATAATAGTTGGAGGTTCACGGTAGGTATTGCGCTGGGTCGGGAGTGCGCCGTGAGAGTGGCTTTTGGTCATATCTGCAAGTCCTAGCGAGGATAGGCCATTGAATTCAAATCCGGCAAAGACACCCTCCAACACTTCTTCAATGACTGCTGAAACATCCAAGTCGGCCAGAATGCCCATCGACTGCATGCTATCCTGCCCGAACTTTTTGATCTTGGAAAAATCTAGAACATGCTCAATGGTATCTAATAATGTACGGCCACATATATCTACAGTTTGCACAAGATTTCGTTGAAACCCATCGAGGGTTGTATCTGCTAAGAATTCGATGCTTGCCAGAACTCCGTGTAGCGGGCTTCTCAGCTCGTGACTAACATTGCTGATGAAGTCTCCCTTTGCGTGATCTGCACTCAAGGTATTCAGCTTGGTGATCTCCGACATGAGACTGTGTCCAAAAGCAATCAGGTATCCGAGGTGGTTCTCGACGGAAAAGCTTCGTGTCGCTGAAGTCGACCACGCAAAAGATCCGATGAAGCATCCTGATGTTGAATCGTAGAGAGGTACAAAGAAGATTTGGCGCGAGCCTGGAAAAGAAGCAAGGAGACTTTGTAACTCAAGTATTTGCGGGTCGTGTTGGGCCTGCTTTTCTTCTGTGGTGGAAGTGATAGTATTGTGAGTATTCTCCTGTGAGCCTCCTGTTGTAGATGCAGGAAGGGGTAGAGTTGGGCCATTCTCATCAAAGACAAACAGCTCGCCATTTGGATACCGCTTTACGAGCGCAGTTAATAGACTTTGGTTAATCGATGCGAAAGAGGGGTGGTCTTTTGACCCTTTATTATTCCACGAAGAGGAGTTTGCAGTAGAATATCCCAAGATGTCAGACTTTACTTCCTCCAAATTTGCGGTTTCTGGAAGCCCCAGAGACACCTCTTTGGCTGTGGGTTGGTGGCTTGGCCGTGAATAAGGTCTAGGACCCGGTCTGATGTTCGCGGAGATATTGTCACTGCTTTCAGTCGAGGTTTCTGTACCATATGGATCCGACCGTCGCGTGTCGGGTTGAAGATTGCTTCGACCTTGGTAGTACCTGAACGGTGCATCGAAAAAGACTGCTCCATCAACCTTCATGCCTTCTCGCACCAGATTGGAAGCACGAGAGAAGGTTCCATGAAGAAGATTTGAGAAACCATCCGTTGAAAACTCGGCGTTCATCCCTCGATTTGTCTTTGGTGCTAATCCGCCGCTCTCGGCTACATCTGATTGTGTCTCCGATACGCGTGGGATCGTTGTCGAGGAGCCCCAAGGAGAGTTGTTGTAGTTGAATCGGGCATCCTGGGTGCTTGTTGCGTGCTGTAGGGGGGAGAGACCCGAGGTTGTGGTCCCGCTATCGAACACGTCTGATGATGTTTGATTCGGAGTCCGCGTATGGTTGCTCAAAACAGTTTCAGGCTTCTTCCCGCCTTCGTTATGGCTTTGCCAGTGGAACGCGACGCCAGCGCCGGAAGGCAAGTCGTATCTTTTGAGTCGCTGCCAATCTCCTTCCATAGTTCCATTGCCCTCTATAAAAGCGTGCAGAGCTTGGCTCATCTTCGTGACTCTTGTAACCTCCTCTTTCGCTCGAATGTTCTCCAGATGGTCCATGATAGTAGCAGCCATGGTATTTAAGAACTGAGCTTGTTCAAGGCCAAATTCGCTGCGCGGTTTGTCGTCTACGACATAAACACAACCAATGTTCACGCCCTGCTTGTTGGTGAGGGGTACTCCACAATAGAACCTCAGATGCGGTGCCCTCTCGACACACTCCAACCGGCTCATGTTCTCGTCAAGGCGCAAATCGGGAATAAAAAGGACTGGGCTTATCTCAGCACTCGAGTCGAGGTTGGGAGGCAGGCGCAAGGTTTGTTCGGTGAGGGACGCATCGAGAGGCACCCAGGCACCACTGATTGACATGCAGGCATTTTGTGTAGGGCCATCTTCAAGACGGCTCAGAGAACTGGTAGATTCGGCTAAGAAGTATTCGTTCTCGTGGTCTGCTAGGGATACAATGGCTCGTTGGGCGGAGAGGCGGATGGCAATCAGTTGGGTAAAGGCTGTAAGAGCAGTATCGGAGAAGGACTGCAATGTAATGAGACCGTCGGTGTTGGAGGAGGGCGACGGGCCGGCAGCATCGGCGACACTCTTAGGTTGGTAGTACCTGGGTTCATCAGCTTGTGTCTGGGGATTTGGTACTGTCGGGTTCCTCAGGCAGACAGACCTATAGACCTCCCTAGCACGACATATGCCTACCGAGGCCATTCTAGTGACAGAGGGGGGGGGGGGGGGGAGGGGGGAGCAGGGGAAGACTTGATGCTATGTGCCGGTCATGGTTGATGGGATGGATAGGTAGATAGTCTGAGAAAGTGGGATGGAGTTGGAGGTTGGAGATATAGTACGAGTAAGGCGGGTGTCTGGCCAGAGGAGTGGTTGATGAATTGCATAGTATTTGTACAAGCACGAGTACAAAGTAAGAAAAGGTCAAGATGGTGAAGGAGGGGAGAGTGAAGGTCCTGGACCTCTAACGAGCACCGGGGCTTCCGATCTTCAAAAAGGAGGCTCTTTGCGGGGCTGGCGCAGGGTCTTTCTGTACTCGTCCATGATTATCGTTGCACGTGAGATAGACGTACTATTGTCACAGCCACAGCAACAGCCACAACTACCAACACTTATTAAAGGTTCTTCCTGTGGTGAGATAGTGATATGTTTCCTGGTATATTTAACCAGTGCATCCACAATTCAATATCTATCTGGGGATACTTTATCTGTAGCAAAACTACAAACGAGCCAGTCTTTCGGTCCTTCTAGTGTCTCGGGGCTCCTTCTGCTGCTGACCATTTGCAGTTTGCCCCTCTACAAACTGCGCTTCCGCAACAGCCGATGTTCTCTTCCAGTTTTCTATCCTTAGTTTCATCGTTTGCTCTGCAATTTGAAGCCAAGCAGGATCCCATTTCAGCAGTCGTCTTCCTGGAACTCCAGGGCCTGGGTCGCCGGCCAACTGTCGAAGAGCTTCAAAGTAGGCTTCAAAGTCGGGTGCTATCTTGAAGAAAGGCTGCCCATCGCCACGAACTGCTAAACGATCCTCTTCCCATTTTTTCTGTGCAGATTTTGGTGGAAGAATGATACGCCCAGCGAGGAATCGAGCCACTACAACTGCTTGCCACTCAAACACCAGGAACGTAAAGCCAGCCGACACCTGTTCAAAATCAGTACAAACTATACAGCTAGGATCGAATGACTTACCGCCCCCACAAAGGCTAACGTCGGATCATCTTGCATAAATACGTGCTGGTATATCCCCAAGATTCTTCTGTTCTCAATCTTTACCGACGGAAGAAATGGCAAACTAAAGTCAAATCCCGTCCCAAAAATAATGTAATCCACGTCATCAAGCTTGGTGCCATCAGAGAAGTATACCGTTCTCCGATTTTTAGATGTAGAAACACGAGATATGGTTGGCTTCAGCGCGATATGAGGATGCTCAAAGGGAACAATGCCGTATACTCGATGCGGTCCTCGTATCGACCCATACACTGGTGACTTTGCGACGGTAGCAATCTGTCTCGTTATATCGGTCCCAGACACAGAAGCGCCGATTGTGACAACTCTCTGCAAAGCTTTTAGTGTGGGTACGCAGCACCTAGAGTATTTTGAACCTCACCTTCCCACGATATTTCTCCGGTCCGCGGTATGTTTTGCTGTGCTCAACAACCCCGGGGTGGTTTTCTACAAATTCCACGAGGCCGGGAACTTCAGAAAAGCGCGGTATACTATAATGTCCGCTTGCAACCACGAGTGCGTCGAACGTTTCTTGCCACCAATAATTGTGTATTCCTCCAGGTAAGGATTTTCTCAATGTCAAGATCCATTCTGAACCTTTCTTCTCTGCCTTTTCAACTGACGTGTTGTATTCGACTTGGTGGAGGTACCCTTTGCGATTGAACAAACTCTCAACCCACTCTCTTATGCCTTCACTTTGACGAAATGGTGCCCGGGGATCAATGACCCCGTTGGAATCCGCGTCTATGTTTGTTGGAAATGGTTCTTTGCTGTAAGCCATTATCCGTTCATCTATATTCGAAATCATTCCAGGGTAGACTGGTGTGTACGTGTAACGATGTTCCTTGCCATTGATCTCTGGTTCTTGCGACGTAATTGTCGGGAATTGGGTCGGGATCGGAATTGGTAGATCAGCTCTATGTTCAATCAATGCGCGAAGATTTGGTATCTTGGGTTGTTCCTTCTCGTCTCTAATCCTAGAAATATATCATCAGAAGTAGATTAAGCGGTCTTGATAATGTCTTTTTACCAGATGCCTCCAGCCTTCTCCCGTCTTTCGAAAACACGGATAACGTCAAACTTCTTCTCCTCGGTCAATGCATCGATTGTGATAGCCCCAGCCGGACCAGCACCGATAACCGCGACTCTTTTGATCGGAAGTGCCATGCTGAACTGCAAAATAAACAAAATTGAAGTCGAATCAAACCAGCAGAAACTTTTGAACTTTAATTTTCTAAATAGCAGAGAGTTTATTTCTACTACATCGGACTAGTCGTCTTCTTCTCGGCTCATCATCCGATTATGCTGCGGACTAGTTGGTGACAGCTACCCCACTAGTGCTATGTCTGGTGGGGTAGATTGTATGCAGGGTACTGCTACTATATGTACGTACTTTTTTACTAAGTCTAATGCAGGTAAAGCAAGGTATCTGGTAGGTCAGAAGCTCCCTAGATATGATTATTTACCCTATTTTTAAAGACCAAAGCGCTGGAAACACTTTATATACCAGAATAGGAACGCTTCGGCTAGCTATAACTTATATAAACATAGTAAAGGCATATAATATTCAAGTCGTGCAATAATACCCCGCAGCTTATCTAGCCGCTTTATTCCCGGGTATGAACCCTTCGGCTAGTTGAGACGAACGCCATATGCATATGCAATCACGACTTTTCACTTATCACCGAATAACTCCTTGATAACCACTCACAGCGGTTGGTATAATGAAATGATTGCTTGGATTAATAATGCCATACTTGCATTATCTATGGGCTCCGATATTCGGGTATAACTTTGTCCGAACAACATTCCTAGAGTGACTGATTATAGTGCTTTCTAATAGACTTAAAACGGGGAGAATAATAGTATCGACTTATAGACTTCCAGGGAGACACTAGACTTTAATAGAGACGCATGTGTAGCACAAAAGCGTCACGTATAATGTAGACATAGTACGTAAAAACACAGAAGCTCCTATCTTTTTTCATTGAACGAGATTTCTATGATTTGTATTCTTGGACGATCTGCTGCCACAGAAGATTAGAGTGTTATTCCAACTTTGAATTATGTAGTAAGCTATTGGCCTAGCATCTTATTCTACCCGCAAGCTTAGTATTGCATATAAGCAGTTTGGATGCGGTCGTCAATTCCCCAACTTAGATGGATATCACATGCGGCTGAGCACCGCCCTTTCCTTGGAGATCATTATTACTTTCGTTTTCACTTCCTTCGTCCGGAACGTCCTGAAATAGCTGCGACCCTTTTCTATTCTTGTACTTTAGCATATAGGCCAGAGCAGAAGCACAAATTATCTGGACAATCCAGAAACCTGCTGCGGTGAAGTTGCCGGCCTTGACACGAGGTTGATCGACCGTCTGAAAGACAGCAAGGGGACTATTTATCATTAGACAATATATTAGATGAATACTATGATTAAAAGACTTACATAGTTGCCGCAAATACTTGGGACCAGACTTGGAGACCAGCACCAGCAAAAGCACGAGTAGCAGGATCACCAGATCTGCTATTGTTAGTTATGAGTTTTATACAAGATAGCAGTGGATCCTTACAATATCTCGTTGGTCCAGGCCCAAAACATGCAATTAGATGCCTCTCCCCAGCCAGTCTGATAGTATAGAAACCAACGAAAAGCTCTATTTGCTGGGAACACGGGAGTTGTTGCAAGCAGAATACATACTACGAAGTTGACTGCTCCTCCTAGAATAAGCATTGGCCAACGGCGACCTTTGAATACAGTATCACTAGCCCAGGCCATTAAAGTGGTGATGGTAATTGTCGTTGCGTAAATAGGAGTCGTATAATTATCTAATACTAGTTAGAAGCTTTCTCTCAAAAATATATAGATGTCGGGATGGAAACTTACTAATTTGTTGCACTGTATAACTCTTCGGCTTTATCTTGTTCCACGCCTTGAACCAAAATGCCATAGACTGGTTTGGGAGATAGCCAATGTTTTGGGAAGCAGCGATTAACCAGAGTATCCAGATTTCGGGCGTTGTAAACCATCTCAGAACCTGTGCTCGAGAGAATGCGCCTTGCCTTACTCGGCCTTCCTTGGGTTGTCTATCTCTCGCAAGTTCAATTTCCTCTGCTGAAAACATGAAGTTTGGCTTCAAACGTGACGGTACTTCGGGAAGTAGAAATAACTGTGGAATTATGATGCCTAGAGATATGACCCCGTCGATTAGGAATAACCAGCGCCAACCGGCCAGTCCGTGAACCCCGTTGAGCCCTGAATAAGCAGCGGCTTGAAGATATGCGGAAAACATAGGGCCAGCTTGAGCAGCCATATTGACAATTGCCATGCGCCTGGCCAATTCTCCCTTCTGATACCAGGAACCACAGAGGAACATAATTGCTGAATAATGGCCTGTTTCGAATATTGCAAGAAGTGCTCGCAAGACGTATAGCTGTGTAGGTGTGTTCATCCGTGACTGTCCAAAAGTACATATGGTCCATCCAATCTCTAGAAATGGTATAAAATATCTCGGATTCGTTCGGGTCAAGAGCAGATTGACTGGTACTAGAGCGATGATCGAAGCAATGCTGTAGGAAGTATTGGCATAGTTGAGTTGATTTCCATACAGATGTAGATCTTCCTTCATACCAGATACAAAGGCGGTGTTCAGATTAGCTCTATCGAGAAACTTGATAAAAGTGCCCAAACACCCAAAGGTTACCAGAGTGGCATCGATTTTGAAGAGTAGCCGCCTTTCAGCGGGACTCTTATCAAAGGTATCCCAAAGGTATGATTTCCAAGAACGAACATTTGCTGAAACGTCGATTCCATTCTGTATCGTAGTTGGTTTTAGATGGGTTATATCGGCACGAGGAACATTCTCAGCCAATTTCGTAGACGACATGCTCGTAAAGGTCATTTTGTCCAGTGTGATCTGTTTACGATACTACGAATTTTTCGATGTGCTCCCAGAACCTTTAAGGGACAAATTTCAATGATTGGTCTCTGGCATAATAAACTAAATCATATCGCCACGCACGCTTAAAGCGCAGACTGTAGGGTACAACAGGACAGAGAGGCGCGTTTGGCTTCATCAAATCGCTCGGATGCATTGGAACGGGTCGCTTAATCAGATCTACTTATTAACTATCACGACATAATTTGAGAAGTCACAACATCACTTCCCTGACCACGAAAATGTACGTACTATGGAGCTGGGCTCCAGGTTCCAGAGCATCAAATGCAGCATCGGTGTCCAATCGTTTCCTAAAAGCTTAGTTGATTCATCTTTGCTTGTAATCTTCTTTGGGACAGTATCAGCGAGTAACGCTCCTAGGACCTAGGGAGAGAATTGGAGTCTTACTTCTTGAATCTATTATAATCTCGGCATATTAGCGGTAATTCGTAATACCACTAGTAGTCAACTCATTACTATTATATGCCTGTACTCCGCACCCCACCTTGCATGCCAGCCCACCTTTCACAGCCTACCATTGTGCATGGCATCTCACTACGCAGGATTTACTAGTAAAGTCCGAAGTCGCAGTACATACAGCCTTTCCAAGTCAGATTATACTTATTCTCATATCAAGAGTGACGACTCTGGGTACTTTTTGTAATCACGTTGAAAATGGCAACAGCAAGCACGAACAAAACGCGAACGCCACTGAAATACTCTGGATCTTTAGATAATTACACATCTAATGATCTGACCCCAATTATCGGGAGAGAGTTCCCTGAGCTGCAGCTTAGTTCGTTGCTTTCTGACAATACAAAGCTTCGCGATTTGGCAATTCTTGGTATGCTCTCTCTAGATTGTGATCCAGAATAACCTACAAACAAAGAGATGTTGACCAATCAAAGTTTCGCAGCGCGGTGTGATAGTTTTTCGGAATCAAGACTTGCAGATTAATGAGCAAAAGATTCTTGGAGAGAAGCTCGGGCAGCTTTCTGGAAAACCAGAATCGTCAAAGGTCGGTAGTTCCAGTTGAGCGCCAGTATTTCCCTGATACGCTGACAGAATATTAGCTGCACCGACATGCATTTAGAAGCGGAAAGACCCAGACTGTGGTTGATGGAGAGCCTAAGCCTGAAGAAGAGGTCATGGTGATATCTTCAGAGGTTAGAGATCTCAGGATGCTTCTAGAATCTCAAAGACTCATTCATGTGCCTTATAGACTGCGAAGGGGTCTCATAAAGATCACACTTCTTCGTTAAAACCACTCGCCAGCACTCTCTGGCATTCTGACATTACATTCGAGAATGTTCCTTCCGACTACGCAATCCTGAAAATGACAGTTGTGCCCGAGTCTGGTGGAGACACCATTTTCGCCAGGTCAGACTGCTATTTGACTTCCTGAGAATACAACTTATGGTTGATAGTGGTTATGAGGCTTATGATCGCTTATCTCCTGCATGGAAAAGCTTCGCGGAAACCTTGACAGCAACTCATCGTAACGTAAGTATGGCACATAATATAAACCATTGGACACTGGAAGCTAATGCTCTTACTTCCAGGCAACGCTAAAAAGGCTCGCTTCTGAAGGTGGTGATGATCTGATATCAGGAGATCGTGGTTCACCACATAATCATGGTCTCAATTTTGAAGCCTCTCAGTATATGCATCACTCTTTACTAGCGCGGCACCGCTAATACTCATAGCCCTGTTATACGTACAAATCCAGTCACTGGCTGGAAAAGCATCATGGCTGCTGGCCATCAAGTCCACGACGGACAATTTGACAACGTGACTCCTCGCGAGGATCAGATCCTAAAAGAATATTGTAGGCTACTTCTAACCCACTTCTTGAATTGGCTTCAGGATTAATACTATAAAACAGTTCTTCAACTTGTAGTTGAGAACCATGACCTCCAGGTTCGATTTAAGTGGCGAAAGAATGACATAGCCATCTGGGACAAGTACAATCTTCTACTGATACCCGTATTAAAATAATGCTGATAATCCTATAGTCGTTCTTGTTTTCATACCGCAACTTTGTAAGTAATCTGCACCTCTAATCAGCAACCGACTTTTAACCTAGCTTCAAGTGATTACGATACCAGTCGTTCAGGAAACAGAATTGTATCGGTTGGAGAAAAGCCATATTTAGACCCAAACTCGACTTCTCGCAGGACTGCGCTTTCCAAGTTGTAGTTAAAAGGATGAAGTCGACTTCGTTTAGAGACGCTAGAAAAGGTCTATGAAAAAGCACTTCGAAAAAGATAATTTCTGTTTAATTAGACTGGCTATTAAAGTATATAGTAAATAGTCTATGTAATGTTTTCATGATTATGATATGAGGATATTAGATGAAACGAACAGGGAATTAGAGGTATATCGATATGAATAGTGGACTATAAAACTATGAATATATTATACTTAACCTTCCTCGAACAAGAAATGAATCTGCTTAGAAATCGGTCAATATTGCAAAAGCTGACACTTCTTTACCCTTTTCTACGCCCCTTATCTAGACCTGGAATTAAGAATTCAGGAGTCATGCAGAGATCTATAATAGCAAGGGAGCTACTTAGTCTGAGTCATATACCTAGGACAGTGGGCCTATAGCTCGCTTCCGTTTTGTCAGCCTAAGGGTCTCTATACGTGGTCCCTCATCACGCAATCTGGAGAACGGATAACGATTCCCAATATATGTGCTGCGCTATCGGCTGTACTTCTTTCCATGTTTGCCAAATCTGCCTGTCCTAGTAATTAAATATAACTTCATATTAATTTGATTTTCAAACTGTGTTATTAACTTATTACTGATAATAATCGATCCTTATCTTAATAAGAAACAAGATGGCGCCAAGTGCAACTGCACCAAGTGCAACTGCACCAAGTCAAGATGGTAAATCTGCAGCGACGATACCTGGCAAAGAACAAACTCGAACAGCATTGAAACTTAGTGGTGCCCTTCAACAATTTGAGAGTAGAGATCTTACTGCTGTCATTGGGACAGAATTCAAGAATGTGCAGCTTGTAGATTGGTTGAGCGCTCCTAATTCGGATGAACTTCTTCGAGTATGTCCCCGGTCTTGGTTACACATAGGTTGAAATATCTCTTAGGAAGTTATGCTAACTTGCTTTGATTTAGGACCTTGCTATTACCAGTGAGTATAAAAGTACCCTCAACTTAAGTACTTGAAATGCTAAAAGTCCAAGTCTCCCAGCGCAATGTAGTCATTTTCCGAAGACAGGACGCACTCGACAATGATCTGCAAAAAGTATTAGTTCAGCGATTGGGAGAACTCTCAGGAAAGCCTAGTACCTCCAAGCTGCATATCCACCCGACTGTCAACGTTGGCGTCACGGAACCTGTGAAAGATAAAGAGATTAGCGTCATTGATTCTTCTCGAGGAAGGATCATATTTAAAGGCGTTCAGGATCGTGAGACAATCAAGGCTAGCAACACAGGTGCGTTGACCGGGTCCCGAAAGACTAATCCAGGACTAAGAAAGAACTTGTTACCAGATCAGTGGCACTCTGACATAACCTTTGAGCCCATTCCCAGTGATTACGCCGTTCTCAGATTAACGAAACTCCCAAGAACCGGTGGCGATACAATTTTCGCCAGCGGCTACGACGTGTATGATCGGATCTCCCCTCCTTTCCAAAAGCTTCTCGAAGGCCTAACAGCAACTTACGGGCAGCCGAAATTCGGCAAAGCAGCCGCAATCAACGGCTACAAGCTCTATACCGAGGAACGAGGGGCCCCAGAGAACGTCGGCGATAAACTTGAAGCTATCCATCCAGTTGTGCGCACGAATCCTGTGACGGGATGGAAATCTATCTTCGCTGTCGGCCATCACGTGCAGCACATCAACGGCGTTACGGAGCAGGAATCACGGTCGTTGCAGGACTGGTTCTTACGTCTGATTGTGGAAAATCATGATTTGCAAGTGCGTGTTCATTGGGAAAATGAGAATGATTTGGTTATTTGGGATAAGTAGGTTTAATTTGATTCATTACAGGCAAGCCTTTTAGGACTATTTACTGATTAATTACACCGCGTCTTAGCCGATCTACCTACCATGCGGCTACACCTGATTACCAAGGATTAGGCACGCGAACTGGACAACGTGCTGTTAGTTTGGGCGAGCGGCCGTATTTGGACCCGGCATCTATCTCTAGACGTGAAGATCTTGCTGCTGTTGAAGAGGCGTCGATTGCACTTCTTAGTTTGACGGCCCCAGGTAGTGATAGTTAGATTACGACTTGTGGAACGTGAATAGTATTGAGGTAGCTATTCCAAATAGGACAAAATTAAAACTCTTGCATGTCTAGCTACCGCCGAGTATATTAGTTTAGTTCTGTTTTCAAAACTTCTGTTAGTCTTTTATCGTTGTACTTCTATTTAAAATTAAAGTCCGGAGCGTGCTTTTGGAATCAAATGCTAAGTAGCATGTAATCTTAGTATTTAATGTTTTTAATCTTTGGTTGCAAAATCTATTTCCAATACTACTGACACTATACTGTTGTATATCATGGGTTCAACAAGTCATATTAGATGTCCCGGCCTAGAAGCTTCAGCCTAGACTGTCTTCAACTGATCGACGGACAGAAATGTTACGAGTATCGTGCTGTACACTGGCGTACAATCTGTGTACAGAGAGCATATTGGATGCATAGCGTCGCAATTCGGAAAGAGTGCGAGTACGATTGACAGACTCGGCTGAACGGGTAAACGGAGTGGTCAAATTAAGCTATATTCAAACGTCATGACTGTTTGACAGCGTGCTGAATTATATACGCGGGTTGTGAAGACTGGAGTCTGGAGTCTGGAGTCGGAAGTCTGGGGTCTGGAGTCGGGAGTGGGAACTCTAGTATGGAATTGCTTTCATGCTAACGTGTACTACGAGTAGTAATGGCGCATTTCGTAGATATTTATTTATGCTGTGCTACGTCACCGATGTCTCGATCGAACGTTCGGAGTTGAGGTTTACAGTACACCACCACCAGCACCTACCTTAGGCACTTGTTAGTTCTAGTGGATGCTGCCCTAGCAGAGACGATACCTTTCTCAAACTTCATATCCGCTGCATTTAAATCAGAAAGAGTGGAAAGGAAAGGTGCCGTAAGCTTTACATATGTCGGCGATACAATCAGGTCGTACATCTGTCTCATCCTTCGGCATGCTACTGTACATTCCACCGAATTCGGCTCAACTAGTGCTGACCTTGATTTTTGCTAGTCAAGCACTGAACTCTAAACTGGTGGTGCTTCCGAAGATCAACAAATAACCAGACGCGTCTTACTATCGTAAACCTATAGTACTGACTCATCCGCGTGCATCTAAGCTATACTAATCCTTTCGTGAGCCTCGACCTCGACCTCCTTATTGGTAGAGGGTATATTCCAACCTGCTGGCATTCAATCCTCGCTGGGGGTGTTGACTCTTAGATAGCTTAACTAACTATGGAGTCCCCACGGCAAGCGTGAACCTAGTTTCACACTAGAGTTATCCTACAGGTATTCAGAAGACGTACCCGCAAGCATAATACACCTTGAGAGATGTAGGAATTGTATTTTGTCTTCTTGAAACGATTGCGAGCACAAGAGATAAACTCGAGTGCAATTGTTGCAGCACTGGTCAACCACAACCCAGGACCTGAAGACGAGAACGGTTAATACCCCTCTATTCAACAATGTCGTCAGAGAAACACGAATGCCGTCCTGAACGCTCCGATAATATTCTCGGCGAGCATTCTAACTTTGTTGGACGACCTGAGATAATTCTTGGTAACAGCTCAAAGGAAGTTAAAGATGAAGATCCGAGCGATATAGAGTGGACAGAAAGTGAAAGATCGAACTCAGAACGTCGATTCGAACCTATAAGGTCTGGGGACAGAGAACATCTTCACAGGATAGCCTCTGAATTTGGAGGCTCTGTGGCCCTTTCCCGATCGCAAACCCGTCGGGGATCGACTGCCTTAGAGAGACTCGATACACTTCATGGCGTTAATATTGGAGACGCCGTGCTGGACCCCTCCTCCCCAGACTTTGATGTCTACAAATGGACGAGAATGGTAATGAGACTTGTTGATGAGAATGATGTTATTGAACGAAGGGCTGGTATAGTTTGGAAGCAACTAAAAGTTTGCGGCTCAGGGTCAGCTATCAACCTGCAAAAGAACGTAGGCTCTTTGCTTCTAGCCCCTCTTCGATTCCGCGAATTTCTCAGCAAGGGGCCTGAGAAAACCATCTTGAACGAGTTTGATGGTGTACTCAAGTCAGGGGAGATGCTTGTTGTGCTCGGACGTCCTGGCAGTGGTTGCTCAACGCTCCTCAAGTCTCTGATGGGAGAATTGCATGGCTTAGATATGAAGTCACAGTCCGATATACACTACAATGGTAAGTCTTCATCATCGAAGTGCCTAGCATCGCCTCCAGCATTCTTATGACAGCAATGACTAACGCGAGACTCTATCAGGTATCACTCAGAAGCAAATGCTGAAGGAATTCCGAGGCGAGATTGTCTATAATCAAGAAGTCGATAAGCACTTTCCTCACTTGACAGTCGGCGAGACCCTCGAATTTGCTGCTCGAGTCCGGACCCCGCAACAACGACTGATTGAAGGCGTCAGTCGCGAGTCATGGGCAAAGCATATGGCCCAGGTTGTAATGGCGATTTTTGGCCTTTCTCATATTCACAGCACCAAAGTTGGAAACGATTATGTCCGTGGAGTGTCCGGTGGTGAAAGAAAGCGAGTTAGTATTGCTGAAATGGCCTTGGCTAGATCCCCAATTGCGTCGTGGGATAATTCGACAAGAGGTCTTGACGCCGCCACAGCTCTGGAGTTCACCAGATCTCTTCGCATGTCCTCCGATCTCAGTGGCACTGTTCATCTAGTAGCGATTTACCAGGCGTCTCAGGCCATCTATGATCAATTTGACAAAGCTGTTGTCTTGTACGATGGGCGGCAGATTTATTTCGGACCTTGCAATGAAGCAAAACGATACTTCATTCAAATGGGGTACGAATGTCCTCCACGCCAGACCACCGGTGATTTTTTGACGTCTGTTACCAATCCATCAGAGCGGAAGGTTCGCGAAAACTTCCAGGGTAATGTCCCACGTACAGCAGGAGATTTTGAGAGATACTGGAAAGAGTCCAAACAGTATATGGCTCTTAAAAAGGAAATCAGCAACCAGGACAGAGAATTTCCCATTGGTGGAAAGACATTGGAAACATTTCAGGAAAGCCGAAAGGGTATGCAGTCAAAACATGTCAGGCCTGAATCGCCATATACAATTAGCATTCCTATGCAGGTGAGGTTTTGCACTCAGCGGGCCTACCAACGGTATTAAATTCCTACATCCTGTGTGCAGTGGAACTATGCTAATCCATGAGCGTAGGTTGCTCAATGATAAGACTTCAACAGTAACGACAATCATCGGTCAGATTGTTATGTCCCTGATCATCGGATCAATCTTCTATGGTACAAGAAACGATACTTCAAGCTTCTTCCAAAAAGGCGGAGTTTTGTTTTTTTCTGTTCTGCTGAACGCCCTAATCGCCATCTCCGAAATCAATAGCCTTTACGCGCAACGCCCAATTGTCGAAAAGCAAGCCTCCTATGCCTTCTACCATCCGTTCACGGAAGCCTTGGCTGGCGTCGTGGCCGATATACCTGTGAAGTTTGCTATCGCGACTTGCTTCAATATCATTCTATATTTCCTCGCCAATTTGAGACGAGAACCTAGTCAATTCTTTATTTTTTTCTTGTTTAACTTTATAGTGATCTTGGTGATGAGTCAGATCTATCGGAGTATTGCAGCATCCACGAAAACAGTTTCACAGGCCTTAGCAATTGCAGGTGTGTTCACTCTTGCCATTGTTATTTATGCTGGTTTCGTCATGTAAGTAGGATTGCATATACCACTCCCCCCTACCTTTTCCCTTCCAAGTCTGGCAGGACCTCTTGAATCATCCGCTTCAAATGAGACATTTTTACTTGTCGCCCATATCTCTTTCCTTCGTATGAGAACATTGTTCTAGGACTACTGCTGATTATGGCCTATTTAGACCTCGACCGCTAATGAAACCATGGTTCAAATGGATCAGCTATATCAACCCGATCGCAGTTTGTTCTTCTCCTGCTCTTAAAACACCCTCGAAGAAGAAATAACTAACTCCCCCGTGATCTAGTACGCATTCGAAGCATTATTTGTGAACGAACTACATGGCCGGAGATTTGCATGTTCTACTCTCGTTCCATCTGGTGGAACTTATGCACTTACAGGGGATCACTTTGTGTGTGCTATCGCTGGTGCAGTGGTTGGCGAAACTACCGTTTCCGGTGATGCCTATTTGCAGAGCCAGTTTCAGTACTCGTACTCTCATATATGGAGAAATCTAGGTTTCATGTTTGCATTCATGCTATTTTTCTTGGCTGTTTATCTACTTGCTACTGAGTTCAACGCGAATACGGATAGCTCTGCGGAGGTCCTGGTCTTTCGACGTGGCCACGTCCCAAAGCACCTTGAAGCCGCCGAAAAAGCTGCGAAAAACGACGATGAAACTCCCACTCCGGCTGGAATTCCAAGTATGGGAAAGGATGATATAGAGCAAGAACAGCAGGGCGATGAGCAACTCCAAGCTTTGGCACCTCAAACTGATGTTTTCACTTGGAAAGATGTTTGCTATGATATTCAGATTAAAGGAGAGCCCCGCAGGCTTCTCGATAATATTTCTGGATGGGTGAAACCAGGAACTCTCACTGCGCTTATGGGCGTATCGGGTGCTGGTAAAACCACTCTATTAGATGTTCTTGCTCAACGTGTTTCGATGGGAGTTGTCACCGGCGACATGTTCGTTTCCGGCAAACCTCTGGACGAGTCATTTCAACGCAAAACAGGCTATGTTCAGCAACAGGACCTCCATCTTGAGACCACTACCGTCCGTGAGGCATTACGCTTCTCTGCCATGCTTCGCCAGCCAAAGACGGTGTCAAAGAAAGAGAAGCACGAGTTCGTTGAGGATGTTATTAAAATGCTTAATATGCAGGACTTTGCCGAAGCAGTTGTTGGTGTCCCAGGTGAGGGTTTGAACGTCGAACAGCGTAAGCTGTTGACTATCGGGGTAGAGTTAGCCGCCAAGCCTGCCCTCCTTCTATTCTTGGATGAGCCAACCTCCGGATTGGATTCGCAGTCATCTTGGGCAATTATTTCTTTTCTCCGGAAACTAGCAGATAGCGGGCAAGCTGTCCTGGCTACAATACATCAACCGAGTGCCATTCTGTTCCAGGAATTTGACCGGCTTCTCTTTCTAGCCAAGGGTGGACGAACTGTGTATTTCGGGGATATTGGCCACAACTCTCACACTTTATTAAACTACTTCGAGTCAAATGGAGCTGAAAAGTGCGGACCGGAAGACAACCCTGCAGAATATAGTAAGTCCATTTTGTCATCAAGGACAGGAAGCTAATTGGTGAAAGTGTTGACCATAGTCGGAGCTGGTCCAAGTGGGAAGTCAAGCAAGGATTGGCATGAAGTATGGAAGAATAGCAAAGAAGCACAGGATACCCAGAAGGAGCTCTCACAGATCAAATCAACTATGGGCAAAGAACAAGCGAAAGAACCAGCCGGATCCCACGGCGAATTTGCAATGCCCTTCTTCACTCAGCTATACGAGGTAACCGTTCGTGTCTTTCAACAATATTGGAGAACCCCCGGTTACGTCTACAGCAAGATCCTCCTAGGGGTAGCTTCTGCGCTTTTCATCGGATTCTCTTTTTTCCACGCAGATTCAAGTCAGCAGGGGATCCAAGACGTCATCTTCTCCATCTTCATGATCACGACAATCTTCACAAGTTTGGTCCAGCAGATTATGCCAAGATTCATCCTCCAGAGAGACCTGTATGAAGTTCGCGAGCGCCCGTCGAAAGCTTACAGCTGGAAAGCGTTCCTCATCGCCAATATCGTCGTTGAAATTCCATATCAAATTGTTCTTGGTGTCATGGTCTTTGGATCCTACTTCTACCCAATCTATACAAAGGGTGGTATTCCCGCCCCACAACGTCAAGGCCTAATACTGCTTTTGCTTATACAATTCTTCGTATTCGCGAGTACCTTTGCCCACATGATGATATCGGCACTTCCAGATGCCATTACGGCTGGTAACATTGCTACCATAATGTTCTCTCTAACCTTGACCTTCAACGGTGTTTTCCAACCTCCCAAAGCCCTCCCAGGCTTCTGGATTTTCATGTACCGCGTCTCACCTCTAACCTGTAAGTTATGCCAGTCTAATGTAGTAAATTAATATTAAGTAACCTTTCAGATCTTGTCTCAGCAATAGCTTCTACCGGAATATCCGGAAAGACCATTCACTGCTCCACCAATGAGCTCGCAATCATGCAGCCCCTAGCCGGCCAAACCTGCGGCGATTACCTAACACCCTACGCCAACATCGCCGGCGGCTCCATCTACAACAAAGACGCGCGAGCAGACTGTCAATACTGCTCCATCTCGAACTCCGATCAATATCTAAGCAGCGTATCTATTAGCTACAGCACTCGATGGCGCGATTACGGGATCGGGTTTGCGTATATCGCTTTCAATATCGTCACGGCCATCCTGCTTTACTATTTCATTCGAGTAAGGAGAGGGAGTGGCAAGAGTGTGGCGGATCGATTTAAGCCGCTGTTGGTTTTCTTTAATAAGGAAAAGAAGGAGAATAAGCGGGTCGTAGAGGCGGAAGGACCAAGGCATCAGGGAGGGAAGACCTTGCCGTGATTTGAAGGGATTTAAGGGAGAATGAAAAGTTATGGGAGATTATGATGTTTTAT